CTGTCACTGAATAAAGCCCAAATTCGATTTGTGATCAGGTGTAGTATTCAATCATGTTACTCGATATGTTTTTGGGCTATCGAAATTTGAGCGAAAATCCGATTGGAAATCACGACTGTTGGGCTGCAGTATCTCTAAATATCTAAAACAAGAAATTGTACTTTTTTATTTCGCCTAATGATGGATAAAGATCCTAGATATCTATAGGAAAAATTATCCTTCTCCAAGTCTTCACGCCTTACTGACCTGACTATACCTAGGTACAATTAACTAGCATCTGCAAGACTATTTTTCGTCAATGCTATTCGCACCAGGAACTCGGTTCCAGGACATATTCGCAACAGTCTAAATAAAAGCAACTTTAGGAGTGTTTTGTACTCGTATTTTCGTTAACTTATTAACTCATTATCAGCTGAGGTTCGCTATCTATATAAATTGTAAATGTGTATGTTTTTTAGATATAGGCTAATTGAAAATTATATGTCGTTCTTTTTCTTTTTAATTTTTATTTATTTATTGACTTTTTTATATTAATTTATTTTTTTTTTTTTCTTCCTCTCTAGGTTTTATATACATTTGTAAGTTTTGCCTAATGCTATTTGTCAGGCTTTGTTTGACATTATGTACTATGCACTTTTTATTCTTAACTCTTATTCTTGTCTTAATTTTAAGTTACCGTTGTACTAAAAAAGATCTTTGGGATCTTATTGTACTAATTTTCTTTATAATAATAAATGAAATGAAATGAAAAAAAAAAATGAAATAATGGCGGCCCCCTCGCCAGGCTATGACAAAGCTCCGTTCGGAAAATTTGTGGAGCTTTTTATTACTTTCGTTTTATTTAGGCAATGTACAAGCTGCTGTTGGGCGACGCACATTAAATCCTAGTAGGAAATAACTCAATTTGTTCACTAAGAAGTTCAATTGGAGCCTGAGTTGAAATGCTCCCTTGAATGTTAATCAAGTCTTGACGTCCCATGTGCCCACACCCAGACACACACCTAGCATATCCTCCTACGGCAGCCTGATAAGGAATGATTTGGTCTGGATTTTGGTCCTAAAGATCTACAATACCCATACTTAAACCACCTATCTGGCAGTGCGCACAACCATTCCGCAGGGCTAGGGTTCGAGCCCAGTTTTCGACCAACATCAAAAAACAAAATAGAAAAGGTACTTATGGTGTCCACGAAATCCTGGTTTCTGCGAGAAATATCTTGGGCGGCGCTTGACTTGTCAGAGCTCCGCATTCCCCCTGAGTTCTGAGGATTTCCTAGAAAAAGTAGTGCAAGCCTCACAATAGCTAGGTAACTTAAGAAAAAGTGAGGTAGTGTTCGACCCAGAATAAAAGGCCCTTCAGCCCATTCTCTGCCTGAAAGGTTTTGCAGCTGCGCTGAGGCTCGAGTGTGTCTTTCCTGGCCAACACATCCGCTACGAGGCTTCCTACAATATCACTAGAGTTTGGTGGCCAAGTAAGGCTGTCTAAGGAAATTTTATCTCAACTGAAATAAAGATCAGACATTGTCCTACGAGCTGTTTGATTTCAGTGATAGCCCTTTTGTAGATTTCATAATACATTGGATCTGGAAGCCAAACAACGCAGTGATCCATGTTACCGCGGATGAAATCGAAGTCTCCAAGTCTCTGATGAGAGAAGTTGTGAGCAATCACCAAGAACACTAAGGTCTCTAAATCCACCTTAGGCAGCGAATCTCTTAACCATTGCTCTCCCTGTAGCAGTAAAGAACCACTAGAGCCTCAGGTAACACCTTACAAGCAAACAAACATACAAAATCGCCATATACCCCTAGGTCTAAAATATTTTTGCAAGGTCATTTCGAAAAAGAGTTTGTATTTCTTTTTTGGCCGAACCTGGTGGTTGCACAGTGGTTGCACAAACTGGAATTTACTGAATTTTTATTAAAAAAAAACTTATTCTTAATTAAAAAAAAAAATCGATTTCTTTATTTCAGTTGATAAATACTAAATAATAATAAAAACTAGTTGAAAACAATTGTGGCGTTCCCCCAAAATAAAAAAAATAAAAAAATATTCCAAAAAAATTTAAAAATTTTCACTAAAATTAAATCTTTTTGTTTGGATTTTGGACAAATTGGTTATGCAGTATTATAGCATATTTATTTTTAGTATCATAAAGTGTAAGTTTCAAATGGCTAAGCACTCGGGTTGATTTTTAATATTTTTTTTTGCAACTAACAGATCTAGGCTTCCTTATAAAAAACATGCACATGGAAGAAAATCCCTAGCACGGTCAACAAAAAAGTTATTAAACATCTACGCGATTTTTTTCCAAAAAAGAGCCCGTTTATTAGGGGCGTGTCGAAATTCCATTTTAGAAGCATTGACTTGAAGTTGTAGTTTGTCGAAATTAATAAACCACAACAATGCAACCCGTCATGTCGGCAACACTTAATATTTATGTATGTATAAGGGCCGTTTATGTATGCTCATTTAAAATGTTTGTTCAAATAGCTCAATTACCAATCATGATTTAAGGTAGTTTATTCTAAATAGTTTTGACATTGACATTTACTCATGAATTAATAAATACCATCAGTGCACCCGCATGGCATTAAAATGCCCAACATTTTAATTCAAAAACCTAGAAACTATTCCAAATGTTAGCCAGACTTATTAGCTGTTCAATATCCATCTTTCATTTTAATCCGTGCAGCCGTTTCTAAGTACAGAGAGATCTCACATAGTGTCGGTTTTTAATATTATTATCAATTCCAGATCACCCTGTAACTGAAATACGAAAGAACGGTGCAAATCTAATAACTATCACAAAAAATGCCTTCTCGTGTATAAATGTCGAAAAGGTAGCCTAATCAAAGATATTTTTAAATCGAAAGAAATGCGCGGATCTGATGGCTGATTGTTTAGTAATTTGAATTTAATTTTTTAACGGGTGGCAACTCTTTTATAAAAAATAAAATCTTATTGCACATAACCAGGCTAATACCTTTAATTTGACCCCTCATTTTTGGGAATCGATCGACCGGTGCAGGTGCAGATTGATGACCTTGATAAAAAATGTATTCAAGTATTATAAATATGTATATGTACATTAGGAGGGTCCAAAAATGTTTGTGAAAAAGTAAAGTCCGAATTTGTTTGCTCTTACCCCCTAGGATTGTTCTATGCCGAAAAAATATACCCTGGTTTTTTTTTGAAATAAAAAAATATTTAGAGGTCGCTCAAAGCGTATAGAGCTTTTCATGTTAATTATATGGCGGAAAAACAACTTTTCGTAGAAATGGTATAGAATAGTTAAAAAAGTCCATATTTTTCTACAAGAAAACTGTTTATCTCCAGGAGATTCCTAATAATAATACCCAATTGTTTATTTAACTATCGCAACTTTATTTTATAGCCCCTCAAAAACCCACAAAAACCCCGAAAAATGCAATGCGGTGACCAATAAAAAATTGCTAGTATTAAAAAATGGTTAAATAAACAATTGGGTATTATTGTTGAAAGTTTCCTGAAGAGTACCAGAGTTTTCCGATCGAAAAATATTGATTTTCAATATTTCTTCGAAAAATTTTATTTTTCCCATACAAAAATACATGGAAAACTTTGAGCGCATTGAGCGACCTCTAAATATTTTTTTATTTCAAAATAAAAAATAGTGGTATACTTTTTTCGATGTAAAACAATCCTAGGGGATAAGAGCATTATAATTACGACTTTACTCTTTTTGGACCACCCTAATGTACATACATATGTATGTATATAGACCAAAGGAAAATATATAACAACCAAAACAAAAGCATCAATGAATTAATAATCGTTCTTGTACTGTTACTGCTAAAAGCCAGTACTACAAAGTAGCGCTATTAAATTTTTAAAACCTATGATTTTGCAATAATGCAATTTCATAATAATAATAATAACGGAAAAGAGAAATTACAGAACTTTTAATATCAAACAAATATTTTGTTGTACTTTTAATGCAAACTAGACAATAAATAAGCGAAATTGCCATTATTTTTTAATAAAATAAATAACAATCAAGTGAATTGCGATTTTGATTGTTGCATCAAATTACTAGAATTGGCGTACAGTTGGTTGCATTACATGGCGCTACTGTCAGTCTATTACGGCTGTCAGTAAAACTGCAAATAACAATTGAAAATATTTAGTTATGGCAAAGGTAATTGGAAATGGTAATGATAATTGTAGTGGTAATAGTTATGGTAGTGATAATGGTAATGGCAATGGTAATTGTATTGATAAGTGTAATGGTATGGGTAATTGTAATTGTTTTAACGATTGTAAAAGTAATGGTAAGGACAATAGTAATAGTAATGGTATTGGTGATAGTAATGGTGGTAGTTGTATTGACGATTGTAATGGTAATGACAATAGTAATAGTAATGTTACTGGTGATAGTAGTGGTAATAGTATGGGTAATGAAAATTGAAATGGTATGGTAATGTTAAGGGTAATAATATGGTATTGATAACAGTAATGGTAATTGTCTTGATAGTAGTATTGGTGTTGGTAATAGTATAGCACCATTAGTGGTAATGGTAATCCTAACGTCAACGGGAACTGTAAGAGTAATGGTATTAGTAATTATTGAGAATGGTAATAATAAATGTAGGGTAAGGGACACAATATATCAAATTTGATCGCGGTGCAAAGAGCCTGAAGACCTGGCCTTACATATTCATAACAAACCATGTTAATGGTAATGGAACTGGGATTGATAACGGCATTGGTAATGGCAATGGTATGTAGTAGTAATTGCATAATAATAATAGTAATGCTTACAGGCTTCTCATTATTATACGCTGTCAAAACCTTTCTCTCTATGTGCTGAACGTAGGGTACTTCTACCTTTTTGTAGGACACAAATCATTCATAATTTCGCACCCAATTGAAATAAGTATGTACATATGTACGTGGATACAAATATAATATCATTGTATTATTCATAAGCCTACGGGTTATTATTTAATGGATTCACTCTTATAAATATCGACGTCGCATGCCTGCAGCTACTAGTGCGAATTTTAGTGCTCAGTGTTTCGGATTCAGAGCAGCTGTTAAGAGAATTTGAAATATTTTGAAAAAATGGTAAACCATCAACTTGCCATGACTCTCTCTGTGCTCTTGTTTTTGGCTACAAGTTTGGCAAATGCCCAAACGAACAGCATGAATAATAGATTAGATGTGCAGCCGTCCATGGAAACGACCACTACTATGGCAGAAAATCCAAGTGCAATGGGTTTCGATTTCGAGGCCGTAGTGCGCACATGTAATGCAAGTTTCCCTACACCAATCGGTGCGTATCACAAAAAAAAAAAATAATAAAAAATAAGAAACATTCCAAATACTTAACTATTTATCAAATAACTTTCTTAGAGTATATCCAACAATTCAATGAAACTGCGGAATTACCAAATACGGCGGACAAAACAAGCATGGTGAGTAAATCATAAGGCCAATTTTAATGACATATGTCATAAAAAAAAAAATCTTCAACTTCGTAGTGTTTCATGCACTGTTACATGGAGAAAACTGGACTTATGCGAAATTGGCAATTGAATCGT